TCAATAATGTATGGCGTATTTGTCTGTCATCAAAGTCGATAATCTAAGTAAATTTTAAAGTTATTCATATGATTAGTCATATGCATAAACATACTTCCTGAGTTATTGTCTTCAATAAAAGATAAATATCGTGTGTCAAGAGTACGAGTTAATATATACATATTTGTTTGCCACTAGTGAAAAGTACTCCATCTTTATATGATGCATATAAAAAGAAATATCCAATCCAAAGCACGTATTTGTGTAAAGACACTTCACTCACCATAAAACCATGCACTCCGTTCCTGGTATAAGCAAAAACAAGACATAACTTGTATTTGTTATATTTTATCAAATCCATTTTAAACATATAGAAATCATGCGATGTATACGATAGACAAAACCAGTAAGATAGAGGCCTGAATTGGGCCGGACCTGAAGCATTATTTTCGCTCGAGATAAATTTATTTAAAGCATATGGGAATAGCGCTTTTCTGTCTCAACAACTACAACAAATGAAACTATGTTTTCTCTCTTCCCTAAAGTTATATCTATAACTTCGTCCATTTTACTTTGGGAACGGTGTGGGATGTACACAGCCGCACGAGAATGGTGTGGCGTAACCACAGCACATCAATAGAGCATTTATCGAATTTGGTCTTTAGGTCTTGTCATAAATTAGTTCAGACATACAGAGTAACGTGTCAGTGAACTTAGTATAGTGGTGGGTGGGAAGGAGTCTTCGATAGAGCCAGAAAGTTATATTTTCGGGCGACAGCAAAGAAAAAGCACAACTAACAACCTTCCTTTAAATTCGTTAAATATTTACTCAACCATTGGTTTAGCTTCGAGTTTGATCATGTGATGGGGATCTACAGATCTCTCGCGATAATATCTGCTCCCGTGACTGTGTCACGGTCGCTTATCATTATTTTCGCTCGAGATAAATTTATTTAAAGCATATGGGAATCAAAAGAGGACCGTCGTTAGTGGGAGTATGACATTAGAGTTGTCTACTTACTGTGTTTATGCAATTTCTTTTTTTTTTTTTTCCTGATGACTCTTATTTCGTGTGTTACGCATTTGTCTATCTTTCAGAACCCCATTTTCTCAGATGTTCCTATCTGTGTCGTTGCAATTGAACGTAAGTATACTAAAACAGTCTTTGAAAGCCACCCTCCTATCGCCATAATTTGTGGAAGGGTCAATCCAGCTTTCATTGCAGCTGTGGCCCCACCGATTCTTAGGCTGTGGCTTGAGTATTTCCCTTGGAGTTTGGCATGTCTTACAAATCGCTTTACGATTGCACTAATTGCTCCTACTGATAGTTTCTCTCCTGAAATCGACAAGAATGCTGGGCCTGACTTTGAAATTAATAACCGTAGCTCTCTATAATTCCTCCAAAGTTTTACTGGGCAATAGCGTGAATCTGTTGGTTCAATAGGTATGAATTTCTCATGTCCAAATTGGTCAGTTTTAGAGCATTTTATTCTGACCCAAAGTAATTTTCCATCATCCTTGAAATCTTCTAGTGATAGTTTTGCTAATTCTCCTGCCCTTCTCATTGTTCTCAGCCCTATGGCTATTAGTGCACAATCTCTTGCAACCATAAGTGGTGTGGTATGTTCAGGTGGGTCTCTTATAGAGATAAGACCTGGATGTAAAAATCTCATCCGGATATCTGTTTAAGTTTGAAATCAGATATCAGGGTGAACCCGGATCATTTATTAAAAAACAATTTAAAAGTTAAATTTAACTATATATTACTATAGATTTTAGTAATTAAGCAATTTAGAAATTACTATTTATACTTTTCTTCATGTAAAAAAATTATTTTAGCCACTTGTTTAGAGATAATGATTAATTACATTGTGACGATAAGTTAATAACTCGTCTATGCTAGTTATAATTTTGAAAAGTTTTAGTCAATTAGCGCAACTCTGAAAAAAAAAGATGTTTGGGTCTCTGTCTCTTGTTAATTGAAATGATACGATCTTCCATTAATTAAATTTTTCTTTAAGATTTTATATGACATATTAAACTATTGTAGCCTTATATTATTCATTAGAATATTAAATATAATTAATTCGTAAAACTATTTTTTACTAATTAAAATTTACTTTACAACCTATTCCGACTTGATTGACTAAAGTGTCTAATAGAAGTTTTTATACATAGAAGGTATGAATAGCAAAAACGGAATACAAATAGTATTGCCCTTTATTTATTTAGAAAACAAATTAAACTGTTTTAAGTACATCATAATTTCTCTTAACAAACATTATTTTTGCTGCTAAATTTGAATCTAATCGAGTACGTTTAGCTGTTATCTGATTTCCTGCATCAGAAAATAATCTCTCACTAGGTACAGAGGATGCAGGAATAGATAAGTATTTTCTAGCTAATTTTGATACATTTGGAAACTGTGCTTTTCTATCAAACCACCACTTAAAAGGATCAATGTTGTCTTTAGCAAGAGGTGTACGCATCGAATCTAAATAACATTCTAATTCATCTATAGGACTAGATTCTATAGAGTTTATGTTAGATGCGCCGAATATTGATGAGTGCAAACGACTATGACAAAAATTATTTTCAGATGTATTTAAAACACTAGAGCCAGATAATATATTTGAACCAATTAGTTCTTTAAATTGTCGTATTAGTTCTTTTTTTGCCATATCTTGAACATCTTCACTCCAAATTGCTAGTATCTTTAGTCTAGGGTCTAAAAGTGATGCTAATAACCCAGGCATTAGTGGTTCACTCCAATAATCAAACAAAGAATCATAAATTGTATGTTGTAAAGTTTTAAGAATAGTTTGTGTAATACGAGTATGATCATTACTTTGATTTGCAGTATTTATTACTGAACGTGTTTGATGACGATGGTGATTTGTTAAAGTCAAGAGTTCCAAATCTTCATCTTCGGAACTATCATCATCGTCAGAAGATTCTTCATGTTCAAAATTAGGTGTCTCTAAATAAATAAATAATTATTTAAAGACTTAAAAGTTAAAAATAAAGTATTATTTATACTCCACTCCAAATAAAAATATCTCTTCTAGAGATATTTTTATTTGAAGAGGAGTATGAATAACAATCCTTCAAGTAAAATAAAGGTAAATTAAAAATTACCCTCATCATTATAATCTAATCATTCAGATGTTTCAGTATAAGCATATGTATATTTAAGAACTTGGATTAATGGGTATATAATTGATATTGTTGCATATTGTGTACCACTAAAGTAAGTAGTAGCATCATTAAAGGGCTCTAATAAATCAACTATATTTTTTAAAAGTTCCCATTCATAAGGTAATAAAAGTCTTTCTTGAAGTTTTTGTCCTTCAGCTCTGTCAGTTGGATTTTCTGATAAAGGTAATGTTGCAGCCACCCATTCAATTGCACGGCGTAATTTAAGTAACCTACTCCAAGAGTAATATTTACTGTTCCAACGGGTTTTTACGTCAGCAATATTTCTCAATATGGTACCTTGACTTGAATTTTCTTCAACAGAATGGTTTGAACTTTCATCGTCGGAATCACTTGACATATCAGAGTCAGTAATGTTTTGATTTTGCATAAGAAAAGTGGATGATGATGATTGAGATTCTAGTTGGGCAGCATCTAAATATTCACTGCGTTTTGGTGATTTAGTAAAAAATTTAACTAATTGCTTTATTCTTTTAAGATAAATGTTGGTTTTTGTAAAAGCACGATATATTGAGAGTTGCAAAGTGTGGGCCGCACATGGCAAGCGCTCAACACCATCCCATAAACTACCTGCCTTAACCATGTTACTGCCGTTATCGGTTACAATACATGTAATTTTTCCATCCAACCCGAATTCAAATACTTTTTTTTTTAATAGTGCAACAATCTTTTCACCCGTGTGAGGATAAGGCATGCGTTCCATACATAAAAGACAGTCATAAACTTTAAAGTCACTTGATAACCAATGGATGGTTATACCTATATAACCATGTTTACTCCGAGCCGTCCACAGGTCGGTTGTTAATGATGCTGATTCACAAGTATTGTCTAACAAACTTTTTAGTTTTTGGATTGAATTAACATAACTACTATTAATTTCTTTTTTAATTTTTTTGGTGGAAGGGATTTTAAAAGCCGGATCAATAACTTTCATCATTTTCCTATAACCTTTCCCATTAATTACATTCATTGCTATATTATCAATAACAATCCAGTCACTAATCGATTGTAGAATTTCTTGGTTTCGTGGCTCTCGATGTAATTTAACTTTTGAACGTTCAAAAACCTCTGGTAAAGTTTGTTGAATTGTATGAATCTGAGGCTAAATATTATATTTATAATGAATATTATACTAATTAATGAATTACAATAACCACAATATTAAGGTTGTTAATAGAGTACACCAACTTTGGTTTAAACCGAAGTAGTTTATATGTTTTATTATTTGTAGTACTCTATTAATAATATACTAAACTAACCTTAAAATACCTTATTCTGATTTTCATCCAAGTTATGTTTATTTCGCAAATGATTATTCATATTTCCTGTACCGCTATCGTGTCGAAATTTACAACCACATAATACCGATTCATTTCGCAAATTCATTATCTTAACTTGGCATTCATCATACTTTCCATCATTGCTTGTTTCAAAATAATTCCAGACCCAACTCGATTTTGCATAAGTTCGTCTTGGTTTGTTTGTTTTACCCTTTTTTTTATTCGATTGGTTCTTATCAAAAATAGACGCATTACTACTTGAGCTAATTGAAATATTATCGCTCATTTCATATTGTTTATTAAAGGAAAATTGCCCAGAAGGTTCACCAGGATCATCATCATAGTTGGCCATTTTATTAGAGAAGGTACTGGAATTAATATTTTAATAAGTAAAATAAAAAAATATATATATATTAATCATTTGTAGTCTAAATATTTTTGAATTTTTGAATTTAAGAAAAAAATTCAAGTTTATATATACCTTTAAAAAAAAAAAAGTATTCTTTTTTGTTTCCTTATAAGTTTTGTTTGTTATAAATATTAATAATTCATAGGTCTTGCTTCAAATATTCGAATTTTTGAATTTAAGTTATATTATACTTTGATTTTTTTTTTTACTTAAAAATAATTCAAGTTTTATATATACCTTCAAGTTTAATTTTTTTTTTTTTTGTTTCCTTATACCGATAATTTTTAAAATTATAAAGTTCTTGAGGCCACACGCATATTAATAGTTCTTGAAGCCGCACACACAATTATTATTGAGAGATTCTTGAAACTGATATATGCAATATTTAGGAAGTGTAATGTTTATTAAAGAAAGTATAAATCTTTCAATAACTCTGATATTTTACTTACTGCAACAAACGCTCAATTATCTTTATACGTATTGTTGGAGGCTGGTAGGGCGAATCCAGAGATGGAGCAACTGCGACAAATTGTCGCTTCGAAATCGTTGACATTGCATAACGTTACTCGAAAGCAAAATGAGGCGATACGATTTGGCAATGGCTAAAGCGGCTCTCGAGTAAGTTATTGGGTAAGTATGGGGACTTTTCAAAAGAACGTTTATTGGTATTACACTCTCTGCACTTTTTATGATTTATAATTTTATTTATTATTAATTTATTAATAATTCCCTTTTTCTTACAGGAGTATGGGGAAGCCAGGGGGTCATCGGGGGGTCATCCCCCACTTAACATCAAAAAACGAAGGGCTTTTATAATGAATTATCAGGGAAGTATCTTGGGAGCGTTCTCCCTTTTTCTATCTTAATGTTCCCTTTTCTGTTAATTGTACAATCCCACCTTTTGACTCATGATTCCGTCTTTTAATTACCTTCTCTATTTCGTAGGTCCCGCTGATAAAGCTACAGCCGCATCTCCCAAAAAGTCTTTGCGGGTTGAAGGCTCTGTTGTAAGCCCGTGAAAGTAAGTATCACTTTTTCCTTGTTGCGCGTCGTGGTGATTCTACTAAGTCTTTCTTTCTTTTTTAGATTAGCGATAATTGTCGCATGTGGTGCCCAGGTTTACAATCGTGGGTGCCTTGTTCCGAATCTTGGGGCTTCTCTTGCATACAATGGGGAGAAATTGGGTTACACGATCGCTGGTTTTGGGTCACGATCCAACTTGCGATTCCGGTCACGTTTTCGGTCACGTTTTCGATGATCGTTACACAACGGCTCTAACCGGATTTCCCTCTAACAGTATAAACGATTATCAATTATACTTTCATTGTGTTACATTATGTTTAATATATATATTAATTGGACGGGTGTGATGCTAAATCATCACATGCAATTAACTAGTAATATGTGATATTTTACTAGTTAATTTTATGTGATGATTTAGCATCACACTCAAATTATTAGATTAAGCAATCATTTTTCTTGCACCCATTTTACCCGGGTTATTGTATTACCATCCGGATACCCGACCCACCTGCGGGTGACCCGGGTTTGCTTGACCCGGGTCACATCTCTAAGATGGGGTCCTGATAGAAGGTCCTGTGAACTTGAAAAATTCGAACTAATAAAACAGCCGTCAGCTGCGGCCCACTAGCGACCATGCAGTGGGAAATTAAAAAAAAAAAGAAGATTTTTACGAATTTTTTATTAAAAAAATAATGCAAATATCGGGTATTAGTTATTCTTATTGCTGTTTGAGGCTGTTTACTTGTGTTGTTATTGTCGTATCATTATATATCACATTTTATATCACATGAAATGAGTCCGATCAGCCCATATGTTGGTACTATTGACATTAAGAGTTTTATACATTTTTGATCATAACTTTTGATGTACTGAGTCAATTTTGATGAAACAATTACCATTAAATTCAGCTCACCGAGACGATTCTAACAAGCACAAGATTATGTAATTCTGATCATGGTATCATGAGATTGGGATGATTTTAATGAAAAGCACTAATTCTAGTACATGTGACTTGATTTTGATTGGCTCACATTACTGTGCTGGAAATCTAACATTTCTATCATTTCTATTAGTTCTATCATTTCTACCAGATCTATTAGTTCTATCATATCTATCATTTCTATTATATCTTTTATATCTATTATATATATTATATCTATTATATCTATTAGTTCTTATATATCTTAACATTACTATATATAACATTTATTAGCAATAGAGTAGTCTTTATTGTAATTATTTATACATGTAAATTATCTATAAAAGCACTGCTTTCTTGCCCTCCAAGAAAGTTAAGTGTCCCCACACTTCACACAAGTGCTTCCACACTTCACACAAGTGTCTCACACTTCATATAAGTGTCTCTATACTTCATCTAAGTGCCTCTTCACTTCACACAAGTGTCTCCATACACTTCAATAGAAAGTGTCTTCATACATTTTAATAGTGAATAAACTGAATACAATATTTAGTATCTTCATATACTATTTATTATTGCCACTGCCTTAAAATCACAAATCATTCTATATATTGTTAAGTTTTGTGTAGACTTTGTGTAGAATCTGTCAAGTTATAGTCATTATACTATAGTTAAACAGCTTCTGTTATCACTGTGGTTAAAGAAAAAACTACAGATTAACAGTATCCAGCAAAATTCGTAGACCCAAATATCATTTACATCACACAAATTCTACACTTTTTTCATGTAATGTTTCTGCCACAGAGTTTTTCCTCCTTATTTCATTGTTTTCCTTGCTATCTTGTTGTCTATAAAGTCAGTAACCCAATGTTGACTTAACTTTTTTCTGAATGAATTTATTTCCAGATAAGTTGTTTCTGATTTGAGTTTTGCTATCTCTATATGTGCATATTTTCTTATCCAGTTTCCAAAGGCTTTTATTCTCAGTAAAGTGGCAGACCAACCTGTAGTTGATGCATTTATAAACAATGGAAGAATCCTTGATGGCTTCCAGGCAGGCCTTCCATTTCCCTTTTCCAAGTTTTCTAAAACCCATTTTATGTCTTGTTTCGCCTGTTGAGAGAGAATTACTATGTTGTTCCAATCTCGTACCTTTCTGTTTGTTGCATCTATAAGTGTATGGAGTTCTAGGCAGCGTACTTTTGCTAGGGCAAATGCCTAACTTATACTCATTAAAGAACCTAACACTGAAGCTAGCATGTGTACTGTTAGTTTTGGTGTTACTAGTAGTGTTTTTAATGACTTTTTTATTTTTTGAAGTTTGTCCCTTGGGATGATAACCTTTCCTTTTACTGTGTCTAATATAAGACTATAAAATTTTGGTTTCTGTGTTGGCTCCCAATAGCCTTTTGTTTCATGCTTTACTAAACACCCTTTTCCATATCTATTGCAATAACCTTTTCTCTTTGATATAGTAGTACTTCCTTCGAGGAGTAAGCTATCCAAAAATTATCCACATAGTTCCAGCAGTAGATTCCAAGAGAATGCCAATGGCCTATTAGTGCTTGTATTACTTTTGAGAACATCCATACCACCTGGCTTAAACCAAAAGGTAGGACACGATAATGGTATCAATTCTTGTCGAATTGAAATCTCAGTAACTTTTGCGCACTTTCTTCCATTAGTAGATGGTGATACTCATCTTTTAGATCGATTATAATTACCCACCAATTTCTGCCTATCCTTATAAAGGTCTCTAAACCCTCGAAACGAAATGTTCAGTCTGGTAATGTGTTGTTTAACCTTCGAAGGTTGATAATTATTCACCATTTTTGGAGTCTGCTTTTGGTTGTAGAAAGAATGAGCTCACCTCCATAATAGTTGGTGGCCTCACTGATCCACTGCTTACTAATTTTACTACTTTGTTTTTTAGCATAATTCCTAATTCTGTTCTTGTCCAATTCATCTGTTCCGTATTCATCTTGTACTGTTTTTGGGTTGGTTGTGCTGCTAAATTTAGTAAGCCTCTGGAAAACAATAGTAAACCATTCCTTAGCCAGTTTATTATTAATGGTGATGCCTTTATTTTTGTTTTCCAATAGTTGACTGACTGAAGAAGATTCAACCATCCTGTCACAATCTTCTCTGAAGTCTAAGTGTAGTCAACTATCTTTAATATCATCTTTCCTTGAGTGTGTTGTGGTTGTATAGGTGTTGGGTTTGTAGTACTTTGATGAGAAACATGTGGCTGAGAGGTGCCCAATCCTTCCACAGTTATAACATGTGAATTTTCTGTCATTTGCTCTTGTTCCTTGCACTTGGTTGTATAGTTTTGGATTATTGGTATACTTTGAGTTGTAATATCTACTGCAGAACTGGAAAATGAACAAAAATCACAGAAACAAATTCTTACTTTCAGATGAATTTTTAAGACAAGCAGCAAAACTAAAAAAGTTATGCCCAGGAATTCTCGAACTTAAATTTAATGAGAACGGAAGTGTCATTGTAACAAGAAATAGTTCAAATCTTGTAAAAAAACCACTTAGAAATAAAAAAAATACTTCTAACATTAAAGAAAAATATGAAAATATCGATAGTTACCTTCTGGTAAAAAATAATAGGTCATTTTAGTTAGAACTAAA